TTTATTTAAAAGTAAAACAGAAAATGAGCACAACTGAAAAATGTAAGATTCTAAAATCAAACTATTGTGGTCTGCTGTGGTGGACGTTTAGTTCAGTGAAGGGTACTGATTTTACTCTTCACTTGCTTTTTGACTACAGAATGGATTTGACTGACCTTGGACCTCGATTTTTAGTTATTGTTTTGCCAGATTATCTGAATTACATTCACGGGAGATTATTGTGTCTTAGAGCTTGCTGCCTGTTGTCTTACTCTTTACCTTTTGCTCTGTATTTGCAGTCTCGTGAGGATTATGTCTGCAAGTCTCTGCTTTGACATCACTAAAGCAGAGTGCTGCTGTGGCTGGAGGTGAATAGCGCTTATGGTACTGATCTCATGTTGCCAATCCCTCTCTCTCTCTGTTATTCTCTTCAGACCCGCCCTCCTGCACCTTGCGTCCCCAGTGTCGCATCTCGACGTGTTTAGCAGGGGAGCAGGGCTGGCTGGGGAATAGGTTAGCAGGGTTACATCTGTGTTTATCAGTACACGGGTGAGCCCTGGGGCTCTGGGTCGTCTGGACAACACATTGGCCAACACTCCCTTGTCTGGCAACTGCAAAACACATAATAGCACTCACCTACACATGTGTAAAAGCATATTACAGCATCCACCGGGCTCACAAGTGAGCAATATGCTCATTTTACATATACACAAACATACCGCTCCCAAACCGTTCCACTACTAATCAAGTCCCCCTAATTAGAGGGGCTTAAATGCCCCAAACTTGACAGTTGCTGATTTAACTGCTTTTAAGTTTTGGTTAATGTGATTTTAGGCAGGGCCTGCTTGAAATTTTCCAGCTGTCATTTGTCAGCATCCCCAAATTGCATGAGACTCTTTCTAAACAGCAGCAGTAGTGTGCCATGCGCTCCGGTTGTTGCTAGGTTACAATACTGGGATGCTGCTGGCTAAGTGGCTGCGGGATCATCGACGGACTCTCTGCATGGAGGGCTGACAGCAGGTCCTCTGGACCATTTGGCAACTCGCGTGTCAGATGCTCTTGAAATCCCACATCTGGTGGCAAGCCCATACAAATCAAGATCAAAGTGTTGGCTTTGAGATTGGCCCTGTCTGTCAACCTCCCTGGCTCTCTCCTGTCGAGTTCCATTTTCATTTCTCGCCCTTTTCCACGGCATCGCTCTGCTTCCACATCGTCCTCTGCCTGCATTGTTTTCCCTCCTTTGCTTTCTCTCTGTTGTTGCTGTCTTGCTTCTCTCTCCCTCCTGCGGCGAGGTAATCAAGCCCTGTTGTGAGTGTTTAAGCATTGGAGCAGACGCACGTTGAATTATTCTTGGGACTTAATACTTTGTCTAGGAGGAGAGAGCCAGTCTCTGTACCACATGCTGCGTAATGGCCACGCTCACATGAATGCAACACAAAGCGGCTCGCACACACACACACACACACACACACCCACACACAGTTTGTCAGCCGGTGAGTCAGAAAGATGTCAGTCACGTCGATCTCATGCTGACAGAGTTACAGGTAACAGAGCGATAGGACCTGACAGACAGCTCTCACTGTAGTGTATACACTGATATAGTGCACTGCACACTGTGTACACTGATACAGAGTAAACAGTCTGCATATGCATAGCACCAGGCTGCACGATCGACTACATGATGAAAGAATGCACACAGTGACGAGCAGCAGCATCCACTCACACACAAAAAAATTACATCTAACATCCTCAAAGTTAAACAAGTAAACCACAAAGAAGAACAGACAATGTAAGAACTCATCTCCTGCTAATTCCCTGCTGTCTTCAGCTCCCTCACATCTCTCCTCTCCCCCACGTTGCTTCGTTGATTTTTTTTTTTACCACTCTCCTACTCTCTCCTTATCTATCTCTTTTCCTCCTGCTCTCCATTCTGCCTTGAGCTCGCCTTTATCAGCGCTTCTCTCTCCTTTTTTCTCTCTCTTTTTTCTCTTTTCTGCCACTGTGAACTTAAACTCTCTGTGGAACCAGAAGCTGATATCACACAGTCGCAGTGTTGCTTTAATCTCTCGCTCGCACAAACGCACTGTCAGACACGCACACACACCTGGGTGGCCATTATTATGTACAAAGCTCGGCTACTGCATTACTGCCATGCCTGTTAGGGCCATGCTTCTGTCTAACTCCACACCTCCAGATTTCTTTTTCATTTTTATCAGCCCCCATCCAAAGCTGACTCAAGTGATGTCATCACTTGAGGCAATTTATCAGATTTTATGCAGCTCCCTCTGGAGCCCCACATGGGCTTCAACTTTCTTCACAAATTTAGTAGTATTCCCCCAGAGCTGTGAATACACTTTGATGTCTGCGATGAAAATCAGTGGAGTTCCCCTTTAAAAAAATCCAATTTAGAAGAATAACTCTGGTACTGACAGTCTTGTTATCTATAATACACTGAATGATAACCTCATCATTATTTTGTCAAATTTTGTATTAAGCATTCCGTGCTGGGGTAGCGCTGCACTTCCAAGCAGAGCTGATATAAATTAGTCAATTAAACCAGTAGCTCCCACTCTCACTTCAGACATGGTGCAACTGACAGACCAAGCAGGCAGCCAAGCTGAGAAAGAAGCGAGCGCTGGTGGCGATACAGGACAGGAAAATGTATCTGATACAGAGGAGAGAAAAATTTGGATGAAGCTTTTTCTGAAAACACATCAACTGCTATACTGGCCATCGTGCCCCAAAAATCCCTCTGTACTTTGAGTGCAACAGCTTAACGAATATTCAGCACAGTAGGGAACACAGACACCCAACAACACTTCAATCTGAAGCCAGAAAAAAGTTTTTAAAAAGTATGTTTGCCTTCTCCGTGAAAAAAAAAGGATTATTAAGGTCCTCTAAACTTACTAAACCGACAGATGAATAGTTAAAGTTTGTCTCTGAGCATTGATTAAGCCCCTAAAACTCTGATCATCAGCTCACCTCCGATTCTGCTAAAACTGCTCTTTGCTACCCAATGGCAAGTTGTAATATCAGAGCAATTCAGCCACGTATGTTCTGAAGCTGGAAAACGATTCTGAAGAAGAAGAATATCATCGAAAGCCCCACCACACAAGTTTAGTTTATTAAATACGAAACCCAAGAAAAGCAAGTTGGCATTTTTGGGACAGTCACTGATACTCTGGAGTTTCAAGGCAGAAATGCTCAGCCATAGAGTTGGCAGCTTATTTTGCTCCTGATATGTCTTCTAGCCTATAAAAAAAGCACCATATGGACATGTTAACAAGGTGAATCACTAAAGCAGAGTGGTGCTGTTACTGGATGTGAAAGCGATAATGGTTCTGATCTCATGTTGTCAATCTTTTTTTCATCATTCTCTGCACACCCTCCTGCACCTTCCACTCCCATGTTGCAGGCGCTTATTTTGCTTATAATATGTTTTCCAGCATTTACAATACATGATATGCACGTGCCAGCAAGGTAAAAAACTATATTTTCCTAGAAGCAGGTCTTTACATTTTGACAGGACTTATACTTGCAGAGGAAGGACTTGGTCAAGGTAAAATATTCTGCCTTTTTATCTATTTGTATTGGCCTATTTTTCTATCTTGTTCAGCCAAAACTTCCACTAGACTACATGGGCAGTGGGGTCTTTTTGCACAGTTAACAGCATTTGACTTTATTTAAAGTGAGACAACACAATTTAATCCCAGCAAGAGTTGTCCAGGTAAGTGATACTGGACAGCACTGTGGGTTTCTATGGTGCAATAAATGCGTGACTTCTACTTTCAAAATTAATTAAATCTTTTTGCTTAACAATTTCATTTTGGACTTTACATTTCTGCTGGTCAGATTGTGTTTGTTTTTCAGATTCACATTTTCCCAATTTTCTTTTTTTTTCTTTTGTATTGTTGGTTAATTTTATACCTTAAAGTCCCTAAAATATTCAAATAAAACTGTTTGAGTTGTTGACATATCCAAAGTAATACAGTATACAATCAGTAAAAAGCTGCTAGAAGTAAACAAAACTTCCAGGTTGGAAGTCACTCAGTTACTTGAGTTGCTTAATCAAAGAAAATTAATTGCAAAAACTACCCTTTTTTGGGTCATTTTTGAGTCTCTAAAATTCAATAATATGCTGCTTTTCTGTGTTTAATATACTAAAAACTTAATATCTTTAAGTTTTGAGCTGCTGGGCGGACAAAACAAACAATCTGAAGATGTTACTTTAGGCTCTTGTAATAATCACATTTTGCTTTTGTACTGTTGAATAAACAACTCATCAATTAACAGAAAAAAAACAATGACTATAATAATTTCTGTAAATTTTATTGAGTCAAAACACCAGGGTGATATTTTTTTTAATCAGATTTAAGATCATCAAACTAGCTAAACAAAGAGACTGTACACATAATGTTGGAGTTGTCTGAGTTATTTAATAAAAATGAAGTAAGTGGTGCTCTGTTGTTCTTATCAACGCCGCATACTGATGCTACCTACAGTCACATGCTGTGTTTTAGACAAAAGGAAGTAGAAGGATTTTTCAACTAGAATACTTCGAAAAGTGTTTCTTGTCATGTTGAAACTTGAGTTCCATCACATTTTACACGCTCCTGTGGAGAGCCACTTATTAATTGAGTGCCATTTACTTTGCTATAAATGGAACGCAGTGAGTGACATTATACATACATATGAGTTTTTGCTGGTGTTCGATTTTGCGCTGAAAAGGAAAACTGATGTACCGTAAGTCCTCTGCAAGGGAGAATGTGAAGAATATAACAGTCCTCCATTGTTTTTGAGCAGCACAACTCTATTATTTATGTTTTATTTATTATTATTTTCTATTTATAAAGTTGTTTAACCTTTATGTTGCTTTGGAACCCAACTGTGCAGATTGCTCTTTCTCAGCAACATCCGATGTCACTGTAACACTGACTCACACATGGAAGCAGTCCAGTGGAACCACACTGAGCAGCCTCGCTGGAGTTGCTGGAAGTTACACAAACGCTCTTTGTACTCACACTTTGCTGGGAGGCCGTAGCCGCAGGTGATCTTGGCTTCTCCCGTCTCGCAGCCGTGGAGGGAAGCACACTCCTTTTTCAGCAAAGGACCTGCAGCGCGGTGGATCGCTCCGTCCACTGGAAAAGAGACGACAGGAGATTTAGAGAGTTGGCCTACTTATGTGAATCCCCTGCAATCTGACTACTTACAGGAGTCGAAATGTTGTTTGAAGTCCAGCAGACACATTTACTGGAGTCAAAGCTTAGTGTTAAAAGGACCTGGATAACGTCAGCATTAGTGGTGAACGGCTGAATTTCCTGTCTTCTGCTGGTTGCTCACTTTTTGCTCCAAATCCAGCTTTTTTTCCCCTTGTAATAAGTCAAAGCATCTGTCTCTCTGTATGTCAGTCTATTTAATGGATTTTAGGGCTACTGCCTTAGTTAATTACTTGATTTAATGTGTTATTAAGGACTCAGCTGACTTTGACTTTTTGGTCAATTAGTCTTTATTAATTAAATTTTCATAAATCTACATAATATTCAGAAATGTGTATCTATCTTTGATCCCCACCACATCTAAAGACCGTGACTGTGTTCATTTCCAGGAGGGCAATGATGCAGCAAAAGCAATTTTACAGCTGTGCCAATTACAGTTTCAGTCAGAATCTTTGCACCCCTTGCAGTCAGACACATTTCCGTAAAGTTAATATTTATACAGTCTTGATCTGAACAGCTTTATTATTAATATTCTGGGCATTATGGACTCAAGAAAGCAGCATTTAACTTTATCTAAATCATATTTGAAAGAAAAAGACAATGTAGAAAGAAGAAATTTTACTAAAACAAGCTCCAACAAGAATGTTCCTACCCTGAGCAATTCTTTTTAAAGCCAATGTAGTTCTAAATTTTATAGTACAGGAGTATAACAGGAATTATGATGAAATAGATTTTTTGTGATTCAATTGGCTCATGATCAGAGAGGGTATGCCATGGTCAGCTGGGGACAGTGGAGGTAGTTAAAGATTTACAGATCCAAGACCCAACCCTGTCTTCTGGATATTACGTTTACTTAATGATAATTTGCAACAGCCAATTTGTTTTGTAATGTTTTTGGAGGTTTTTTAACATAATGAGGAACCTTTTTGAGTATTTCAAAGTGGTTTATGTTCTCAGTTGAAGGTTGGCAAAGGAGAAATGAAAGGAAATTAGGAAACAAAAGAGATTGGAAATGACGTACTTGAATGAGGGACATGCTTCGTCATTACAAACTTGGCCACCAGAGCACCCACAGGACATATTTCCAATGGCAGCGTCTGCAAAATGTCCACTAACTGCATATATTTCATTTCATTTGTATATATCATCTGCCTTCGCAATACAACGTCAAGAACTATCAGCGAAAGAATGGCTAATGTCAAAGCGCTTGATTAAGCAGAAGGAACTATTCTGATTAGATAATGGAAAAGTGAACTGACCAAGACAAGAAATGACTACTTTATTAATATAAACCCAACATCACAATTATTCCTTCAACCTCAAGCAGACAACTTTTGTCTACCTAAACCAAGGTTGCTCAAAGTCTGGACTTAGGTTCATTTTCAGACCAAATGGCAGGTCATTTCGGACCCAACCCACCCTTACAAGCATAAATCATGAGATGTAGTGTTTTATACTTTGAAAGACACACAATAATCTATAAACTGTTACTGACATTGAAAATCAGTGGCGACTGGTTAATACAGGGTTCAGGGGCGCCATAAAAAGTAGTTCTCAAATGTCAAATTAAATTGTAATTAATTATAACAAAATAATAATAAAATTAACAATGACGGTCATATTCTTTTGATATATTAACAATATTGGTATTATTGACATATTTAATATAAGTCTTTACTGTGTGTTTACTAATTTTACACTTCCAGGGTGCGGGTCGCCGGCCACATGAGTGTGTATGTAGCTCGAAAAACTTGTCGTGATCATGTGACCTCGGCCCGGGCTCTGATTGGCAGCTGCAGACTCTCACACGGGACGCAGCTCGGTGCGTCCCGGACCCTCCCACTTTTGCTGTAAGCCAATTAATTTTGTCTTTATTTGCTTTTGTCTTCTGTGGTTGGATATCAAAACTGTCCTTCGACATTCTTACGACTGCGCTTTCTGACACGGCCTTTCCCCTCTTCTACTAAATGGCAGCTACTGTTGTGACTAATGCATTGGCCTGCTGTCAGTGGAGAAAAGACGGCTCGTAGAAAAGAGCGTGTGTAGTGTTCATGTAACTGGGTTTAACCTCGGACAAATCTGACGTGAGCATGCCCTAGTTTATTATTTTTAAAGTCATTTTTGGTCGCACACCGGTCAGGGCACACCACAGCCACCAAACAGCATCTACCATAGCCTGCTATGTGGGGCGTTTAGGGAGCATCAGTAAATCGTAGCGTCTATCGATAAGAAAATGTTCAGCAACTCATATGTTTTGCCTTTGACCAGGTGGGAGGTGCAACAAAATGAGAAAGTGGGTCGTACTGGTACTGCCAGTGAAAAAGTCAGTCTGGAGCCCTGAATAGTGTTTTTTTCCCCCCATTATTTATGTTGTGTGTTTTGAGTTTGTACAGATTCTGTAAATATTGCTTTAAGTTTGATGAATGGTTTTGAAATTTAGTTCTGGTAATTCTTGATAACGTTACATTATATTATGATTAGAATATCCTCCAAAAGTACACAATTTGCATTCCTGTAAATGGTTGTGCCTGATGTTACTCATATTCTAATTTCTGATTTTAAATAAAAGGTCATTTGCACACTGCGCCCCCCCACCAAAAATTTTCACCAGCCGCCACTGTTGAAAATACTGTGTAGCTGGAGATTATTCACAGAGATCCTGTTTTCAGATAAATGTGGTTTTAAATGTAGCCTATTTCCCCCATCTTGAAATTACTGTCTGGAAAGTGTTGTGTGTTGTTGTTGCTGCCAAGTTAATGCGTTAAAGTTACACCACAGAAATTGATATCAGCTGCAAGATTACAGATACAAAATGTGTCTCATTTTCTCCAGCGTACAATTTAAATAACTAAGGGAAGCAGTTGTAGTAGAATTTGTCTCAGTCAGAAATAAAGATGGACTCAGTGGCAGACTGTGTTCATGTTTGCCCAGGCACAAGTGTTGTGATGCTTGCTGTGTAATCACGTATGAGGGTTCAGAGGTCACATGTTAGTCTATTGTTTTTACTGTTGTTTCACTATTACTGCTATCTTCATATTTATTGCTTCTTTGTATGTTGTTTACTTTCCTGTATCTGTATATCAAGTACAGCACCTGGTTCAAAATGGGACTATATAAATAAAATTTAACTCATTTCAGTGTACAACAGACCTGTGTACACCCCTGTGCAATGACTTGAATGTCAGATGATTCAAAAGTTTATCACCTTACAGTAATTGTAACACTTATAAGGTAAACAGTGCTCCTCCCCCTCGTTGTTACTCCTCCCCCTCACATAACGAGGGGGAGGAGCAACAACCCCAAACTGAAACTGAAACTCAGGTGTTAATGGCTCCTTAAGGATATAAGTATCTGGAACTCCCAACTTGTCAGTCAGAACTGATGAAGCCTCTTGGATGAGACGTGAAACGTCTTCAAGGAACTCAAGCGAGTCCAGTTGCTACGATTAATCTACCAGAATTCACTGCTAGGACTACACATTCAGTGTGGTCCTTCTGGCCAGGTTCATATCTGGATTCTATTGGAGCTGAACAAATTTATCTTCACCATCAAATATGTGCACCCAGTTTTCATCAAGCTTCTTCTCGTGTTAAGTTTCATCTGACAATTTCGTGCCAAAGTGCTGGCAAGACTTCTGCTCTTAAAAGCTGATGTTATGCAATGTCCGTCACACTGTCTGAACTGTCAGAAACACTGATAACCACTGATAACCACTGTGGCACTTGCCTGTTTGTTTCAAAGGTATATTATGGTAGTTGTCGTCATTTTAAGATGACAGTCCCCACAGCTAGTGGTACTCATTCAATGGCTCTTGATTACTGCTGCTACTGTGTTTGGACTGATTTTTAGTTGGCCACTGATTTTCCTGTATCATTTTCCATCTTTGTGAAGTAACACAATGAGATTTTCTTTTCCCAATGATCCATGACACAGACAAGCAGTCCATAGATCCAAAATTTCTAAAAGCTCTGGCACTCATTTTGCAACCATATTAAAGCAATTAGGCTGATTTGAAATAACAGGTGTACTTAATTTTGCTTCAAAGATCACAAGGTTTCTAACTTGTCAGTGATTAACACATGTGTTTACTTTTCTACTTTGGGGCCTGTATTTTTAATTAAGTCTTTATAAAGTATTTGTTTTTGAGTGTTTACAAAAAGAAACAGTCTATTGTCAACTTAGAGATAATGCAATAATTAAGGGGCAACACAATTTTGAATGATTTTACATTTACGTGATATTGCACAGGGGTGTCTCTGTACTTCTGTTGTATATTGTACACGGATGCAAATGACTACAGGCAAACACTGCCGTTTCCCAACTAGGCCAGAATGTGTTTTAAATATCTCAACTGTCCTGATCTTGAATGTATGTTGTTTAAACAGTATATTAAATGTCAATGTTATGACCAATCGCTATGGATCTCTGACCATAAATGCAAATCACATGCACACTTTTGAGCAATCTGTTTGAGAACCACTGGCATAAACCTAAACACCGTGCTCTAGTGGCAAAGTCCTGGGCTTTGTACACTCACCATTGACCCTGTCCTCCTCCCTGTGATTTACATGCAGTACATACTCATTACACTCCCTACACTTGGGGTTTGGGGGGGGGGGACCTAAACAAAACAAAACACTTGCACTCAACACAATCCTGCTAGCAATTATGTCTCCTTCTAAATGTAAACAAAAACAAATGAGGAAAATACAGTGTAAATACTTTCCAGAGGAGAGGACTGAAAGACTGTCCACATTTAAATGTTATTGTGTTGGAATGTTAACAACCAGCATCCCAGTAATTTAACCTTCGGCAGCATCTGTTGTCTGGTGAGATCAAGACTCTGCTTTTGTGTTGAAAGAAAATTGAGGTCTAATTTTGGAGTCATTCATAATTAACCCAGAATAAAGCACATCTGTCAG